TTTTAGCAGGAGCTTCTTACTAAGACAGGGGTTTCTTTATAGTTAACTACAGTTCTTAATTTCTTTGGGCTTAGGGATTTTTGGATTTGTTTTTCAAATTTCTGCCATACAAGGTCCCCGTGGTCTGATACCATAAAACAGGTTACCCAAGGGTGTGCCAGGCAGCATTAAACAAACCTCCTTTTACCCAGGGAGGCTGTTCAAAGCTTTACATCTGCTTTATTAGAATGGTGAAGTTAAAATAATATCTGCAACCTTTTTGAAGTCTGTTAGCTCCCTGCAGCCCACTGAGACTATGGGAAGTTACAACACATTGGCATCCAGGTTAGCTTCCAAAAAATAGCCCTGTTAAGTAAGCATTCAAGTACCTTGGATTTAAGTGCACCAGTAAGGCAGTTCAGACTAATGTTTTAACAAGCATCAGTCACACAACCACACCAGCTGAATTCCAGAAGTCTTAAGGCACAGCAGAATCTATTTTGGCTTCACTGATGGGAAGACAGTAAAAAAACCCCACACAATAAAGGTAGACTCAGAAGCCAAACACATACACAGATGTACACTTCTTGGCCTCATGATAAACATTCCCTCCTTTCTGAGAGTTAAGGCAAGTGTATGTGTTAGTTCTTCAACTACTTGAAATTGTGCCTAAGCAGTCAACTGATTTTGTTCATAGCTTGTCTCACAAGTCCAGTTCTCTGTTCTGTAATACAGCAGAAATGAGCCAAAGAGTAAACAGGAGAGTGTGGAGAAAAATTTAAGAAAAATGGTCCATTTTTTAGTTGGTTTTCTCATCTATTCAGCTTTAAGCAAGTGTTCCTCCAGAGTAAAGCACAAAGAAAATGTTTTCTTCCCAAACATGTCAAAAAGTAGAATTGGAACTGCTTTAGAGTGAACACAACACTGACAGACTGCAGCACCCCAGCCCAGCTCACACCAATGCTGCACAGACACATGCCCTGTCCCAGCACTGGGACACTGGACAGAATGATGACACCATTGAACTCTCTCCTCTCCTGCTGTGGCAGATAGGTTTACATGCAACTTCTTTGGTAGATTCCCACAGAGAAGTGGCTGTGTCCTTCTCAGACCCAAAGTAAGAGTCTTCTTTCCCCAGGCACTGATTTGCCACCCCCAGTCTGCTACATCCATGTGATGATTAAAGACACCTCTAAATGCTTCCTGTTAAAAGAACTAACACAAAAGCTACAATATCAAGTGCAGTGTTTTGTTTTTAAAAGTAGTCTGAGCTCTCAGCAATTAACCCCTTGACATGAAGTCCAGGATACACAGCAGCGGTTCTCTAGACAGTACTATCTGCTGGAAGCCCCAGAGGGGACTTCACAGAACACACAGACACACACACACACAGTGTTTTAGCAGTGCGGGTATCAGCGAAATTTCACCCCAAAGGAAAACTCTCCATTTTGCCTACCTATATGTATATAGAAGAGGCAGGAGAAATGGCAACTATCATGCAAAGGTAAACCTAAACCAAACATTTTTTCCTGATTTTCCAAACCCTATTTCAACTGTATCAACACACTGATGTTCTCCTCAATCTCCAGCTCAGGATATTCTGTTGTTCTATTTTATGAACTGTAGACTGCAGCTACTGCACAAATAAACTACTGCTGCTGAGTCAAACTAACTCCTGGTTTTCTATTTAGAAAATTATCCAACTGCTTTCTGCTGCAGCAGTTTTTTAGAGTGATTGTTTCTGGTCAAGGCTTAAGTAGGAGCAGAGTGGTGTGAAATCAAAAAGCAAAGTACTCCTCTAGTCTGAAAAAAGCTGGAATTTCATGAGGTGTTCAGCGTAGAGAACAGTATGTAACATGACAATGGTCTTATCCCTCCTTCACCTTCCTGCTACTGTAATTACACACTACCACAAGAAAAAATAACTCCCTGAAGTGCAAGCCCCATGTGAGAAGAGAAGTAGAAATTAATACCTGTGCTGTGTATAAACCAATTTTAATGTTTGCAAGATACTCAACTTCTTAATGGCCACTTTTCTAGTAACCTGCACACTAAGCTCCCTCATGTGCACCACTTGTTTTAAACCATTGGCCTTGAACTAATGCAGGCTGAAGTGTGGAGATGCACAGGCTCTTTCACAGATTCCAGTCACATACAGTAGCAGCAAAGGGTATTTTCCCGAGTTTTAAAGTCTCACGTCTGAACAGTTAATGTTAAGAAAGAAATGCCTCTTCAAATCACAGCACACAGCCAACACCATCCGTGGCTCACTACTGCCGATTCAGAGGGTTTGGAAGGGCACTCTTTGCCCAGCCTGTAGACAACCATGGAAGAGCTTGCAGTGAGCAGTCACTTATTTCTGCATCAACAGACCACGAGCAGGAGAACTGAAGGAGAAAACTGGAGACAGTGAGTCCATCCCTGATAAATAGAAAAAAGGTACTAAAGCAATCAGAATATGAAAAAGGTACAAGTGCAGGCACTAAGATTTTCTGTTATCCTTGGCCTACATAGAGAAGTTTACAGAAAGTGACTTAAAAAGAGTAAGACATAACATGGTTAAGTTTAGCTAAAGAATTATGCAGATTAGCAAACTGCAAGACAGCATACACAGATTACCTGAAGATTTATTCAGCTTTGCTGAAAACACAGCAGTAGGTTTTTTCTTTTCTTTAACAGAAGCAGCTTCTCTCTCAGCTTCCTTCTCAAAAGCTCCTGGTTTGACTACACTGACTATCTCTTTTTCAGTAGATAAAGGTGAGGTATCTGTGGCTGGTAAGGACATCGTGGATACTTCAGGCACTTCTCTGTCCACAGCCTCCAAGGACTTTTTCAAGGCATTAGCATCTTCCTCAGCTTTTACTTCTACATTCTTCATAGACAGATCACAGGGCAGCTCTGAGCAAGGCAACTGCCTCTTCTCACCTTGGATCGCCTCACTGATCTCTTCGTCTTTATCTTTGTGTATTATTTCTCTGTCAGTGACTTCTGCCATAAACTCAGGAACAGTTTTAGGATGAGCTAACATCACAAAGTCTTCTTCTGGGGAGGACTCCATGGGTGAGAGAGCTTTGTCATCTCCTGTTTTTGGTTCCATAGCAACAGATACATCAGATGAATAAGCCAAAGCATTCAGCTCTTCCATTTGAAGAGGAATCTTCTCTGTCTTGGCTACTTTTGTAGGTGTTGGCTCAGATGCTAGAGCAGCAACACCTTTGGAAGAGTCCAGTTGGGACTGGAATGATTCCAGATAAGGCTTGCCTGTGGCAGCTACTGAATCCACCAGCCCTTCCTCATGTTCATCATCAGTTGCAATACTCTCAGTGGATTTACTTTGTAGGATGAGAGATGGATCTTCACTCTCTTCATCAGCAAAGTCAGCTATCATCTGGCTATGAAACAGGTCAGATTTTCCAAACTCTGGAGACAGGTTTTCATCAAGTTCCTTGTGTTCAGGCATATCCTGAGAAATGCATTCTGTTATTGGTGTCTTTGAATAATCTGTAAAGGATGGAGAAACAGACTCACCAGAGACCTTTGTTCCCTTAATTAAGTCACATGCAATAGATATATAAGGAGTCTCTAGATCTTCAGGACTGGTGCTACTCTCACGACCAGGTTGTTTAAATGCTGATGCCTCTTTCGCTTCTTGGGCCTGTGCCAGTGGAGCATGCACTGCCTCTTGGTATACGGGAGGTTTTTCAGCCTCTTCTTTTACATTCTCATATTTGGCAGTGGGAATAAATGTTTCTAATGGGGAAGCTTCAAGCTGCACAGCAGATGTTTCTGCACCAGCAGTCCCAGTGCTTAGTGGGGCTTCCATAACAATATCTGGCAATACTGGAGACGGAGCCGCTTCTGACCCTTCGAACGAGGGACAGATTTGTGTCACAGGTTTCAACGTCTCTTGTACTGACTCGGAGGTCTGAACTAAATCAATCTTGGTTTCATAAGCAAGTTTTGTACATGCTGCATCATGCATTTCACTTTCATACGCCTCTTGTACCAGATCAGGAGTAAGACCTTCAGGCATATTTGCTGCAGTGTCAGATGGCACTGTTGATACACTCTCTGCTTTAGCAGAGTCAGCTTCCTGGCCCTCCTGCTTGCCAACTGCTCGGGCGCTAAAATTACCTTGTTCTGTGCTTGTCTGAGCTTTCATTTCTGCAATTTTTTTCTCATCGTCGGTTCTATTTTCTGAAGTGCCCTCCTCTAGTGGAGACAGAGATTTGCCTTTGTTACCATCAGGACTCAGAGAGGAGTCAAATTTAGTACAAGTGATGTAAGTCTGTGAAGGTTCTTTTACAGCTTCTGGGGTACTTGGGAAAGAGTCTGCCTTCACTCTCTCTTTCATAACCCTTCTGCACATTCAGCTTATCCACACCGTATTTCTCATCCAAACTGCTCTCTAGTTTGGCATCTATCTTACTTGCAACATCTTCTCTCATGCTGCTTAGTCCATGACTAGCACCTTTTACTTCCCATATTGGCTCGAATGGTTTGAAGTCTGCATATTCATCCCTCCTGAGAGGGTCTTCTTTCAACACCCCTTTTTCACCATGAATACCATCACCTTGGTATTTGTCTTTGTTATAGAAGAGATCTTCCTCATTTCTCTCAAACAGATCTTCAGGAGTTTCTGGAGACATTTTCTCCAGGTTAGGTAATTCTTTAGGGCCCTCTAGCTGTGTTTCCCCTTTAGCTGGAGATAAAATGGCTGTTTCTGGTTTAGCAAATGGGGGTGCTGAGTACTTCATCTCTGAAATGTCTTTGTCATTTCCCTCTGCAAGAAAGGGATTTCTTGGACTTTTTATTGTTTCCTTATAAACCTCATTTGTACTTGCTTTGTAAATGCCTCTTGCAGGTAATCCATCTGAGAGTGTATCAAAGGCTGTGTACTCTTTAAAGGGATCAGCTGAGATAGGAGAGAAGGAGGGAAGAGAAGGAGCAGTATCAAGTGCGACTGCAGTAAAATCCTCTTGACCAAGCGACTTAGTGCTACCTGGCTGCTCCTGCAAGTCCAGAACTTTTTCTGTGACCGTGGACAGAAAGGAAAGTTAGAGAATGCAAGTGCTCTTAAAGTCAATGCAAACTTTCAAGACAGGTTCACATGATGTTAGTTATTAAGAGGTTCTTCCAAGCTCTATCATTGACACTAGGAGCCATTAAAACACATTATCAGTTAAAGCTATTCTATTTCACTTCTTCTAGCAGGGAAATGTGCAAGAGGCTCGAGAAGCAGCAACTTTATGCAGTGCAAAGATCACAGTAAAGCTGAAAATGCCAGACAAGTACAGTGGACAATATTAACAGAGTCAGAGAAGGACGGTGGCAAGGTGAGACAGAGAGAGGGGATGTGTGCGCTTGGGCATAAACATACAAATGTGTGCCAGTAATTTTCTGACACTTTTTTTAAAAATGGGAATTTAGTGGATGGTGTACCTAACAAAAACCACTAAATAAATACTACAGGTACAAATTTTACCTCTATAAAATACTGCAGAAAGTTACTATGGATTAAATCTTTCTGCCAAATCAGTAAAGCAACTATGTTCTGATGTGTTAACCTGTTAACAGCATCAAATTCTCTCCTACATCACGGGTCCAAGAATTCACAGATGGCCACATCTTGTTTATGAAACAGTTTATACCATGTAAATAAATTACTGCATATTAAAATCTGGAATAGATCAACTGAAAAGTCAAAACTGAAAAACGTGATAGAGGCTATTCTTGGACCCATGCTGACTTTTAGTAAAGGCAGACTAATTGGAAAGGGTTAATGAGATCAGAAATGCAGGAGGTATTCAGACAAAGGTGAGCAGAAAGAACTTGCCTGCAGAGGAGTGCATCAGAGGCGCAGATGTAGCAGGAAGAGCAAAAAGGGTCTCATCTGAAAAACAAACAAATAACCTCAGCAGAAATAAAGGCTAGGTTGAAGAGGGGAGAAAAGCACTCAAGTGGTCAGTTCTCAGTAAATCAAACAGATCCACAGCCAACACCCACAGAACACCATACCAGCCACATCATTTGGAAGACAATGCTTGGAATTCTCCATTTACAATGGAAATCTCCACCCTTCAAACCAGTGCCCAGCCTTTGGGTAAGGTACACCACAGTAGCTACTACTTTATTTTCATCCTCCAAACTTCCACACTACTGAGTAGCTACAGCATCCCTAGCACCAGAAAACACATTGCCATGGACAACAACACACTGTCCTTACCCAGCTCACCTTGCCAGAGGGTCTCCTAATGCCCTCTAACTCGTGTGGCAGCAACAGCCATAAGGACACTCAACCAAAAACTGGGAAGAGTTAAAACGACCAAAGTAAGCTTTGAAACTCCTCACAGAGCACTCATACTGGGCAAACTGGGACTAGCAAAAGAAAACTATTTGCCCTGTGCTGTAACAGACAAGCTTCCAGAGGAAGGCATTATTTTTAAAGCCTTCTTTGGCATGATCCAAGAAGTGTATTTGACTTTGCTGACTTTATTTTAAACCTAATACCTCACAAGACAAACCCAGCTCCACAATTTCCGCTCAAAGTGGCAATACCAGCCATGAGGAAAAAGGCAAAGCAAAACCAGTTCTCTGAATTTCTGCATCCATGGTGACCTGGTGGCATTATATTAATGTACAATAGAAGTTACATTTAGGTGAATTTATTTTGTCCTGAAAACTGCATAAAGTTTTCAAATTAAGGCTGTTGAAGAATATCTGCAATTTTCATCGATTTTATTAGCAGAGTACAAATTTATATTAAAGCATTTAAATGAGATTTTTAATTTTCAGCACAGACACCAACAATGTTTAGCTTTGCTATTTTCCTGGACAAAAATCAAGTACTGGAAAAAAGGTTTTATTTAAAAATTAAAATCAAAGAGTAATAGAAACAATTGATTTTAAAAGATGGAAGGCAAGAAGTGAGAAATACAGTGGATGCAGTAGTTCATACATAAGAACCCAGTCAGGCAAGGCATTAAGGTAAGCTGTGCTTTGGCACTGAACCATGGCTTTGTGCATAAGCAATGCCACTTGGAGACACTCATGACCTGCCTGGCTTACTCAAGTTAATCCTACCAGCAGTTTTCCAAAAATCAAGTCTCGTCATGACCTGTGTGTGCTGTCACAATATACAGTTGGCTGGTTTTGTTTCACAGACATTTATATTTTGCTCTATTTTGTGGATTATAAACATCACTTGAAGATAACAGGGAACAGAGTAATAAAGCTGGAGTGCGGGACTTGCTATTTTAGAAGCTTCCTCAACTCCTGACAGGCTAAAGGGATTTCTGTTCAGTTCCCTAAAACTTGCCATTTTTCCATTAAGAATCACACAGAGAGAAACCTCAATTCCAAATTTAAAGCACATTATAGCAGTGTCACAGTTCAGTGGTGGCAAAAGCTTTTAAGGACAAAAACCACACTGGAGGACAACTGAGGTCAGGAGGGACATGACAACAAGTCACAAAGCTGCAACACTCATCTGTACACTGCTAAGCATCACCATAAGCCCTTTAATTCCAGGAGCTGCTCAACTCTGCATTCCCTGGTTTGCTGGGATCTCTTTCACAAGCAGATTGCTTGCAAGGGGTCCACTGCCCCATGGGGCAAGTTGTCAGGCTACCTGGTTTGGCGAGTGAAACAAGTGGCTTCAGTGAATGCAGCTGTGGACTAATCAGTCCCCACAGCTGCTCTGTCCTGCTCAAATGAGGCTTTTAGTAATAACAGAGGTTTTTCTTCAGTTTCCAGCATGCCTGGAACATAAAGGGTCACTGCTGAGCTTTACATTTAAGTAGAAAGCCTTAGGGTTTGCACCAAGCAGCAGCACACTCTCCTTTTCCCTTAACATTCTGACTAGCTGGACCAAGCAAGAGCATCTTCTGAGCACAAATGTAGAGCTGTGTCTCTCCATGCATGTACTGGATGCTGATCCTGCT